ATATATATATATATATATATATATATATATATATATATATATATATATATATATATATATATATAGAGGACGGAAAAGGCTCAGAGAAGACAAACCAGCAGAGAAGAGAAACTATGCACAGGGGGCAAAAGAGACGGATAGAGATGCTGCTGCTGCAGCAGCAGCAGAAGAGTTGTGTTTTTTGTGTATTTAAATAAATTAAGGGTTTTACCTTCATAAAGTTACAAACTGCTGCCACCTGCACAAATGCTGCGGGAATAATTGGCCATCTGTAGCGACACACAGACACCACAAGTCGATAAAAATATTAAACTTGTTTATAAATAAAGAAAAATACAACAGAAAAACAAACATATAAGCAATAAAAACAAAGAAGGGGAACACATCATCAGCAGAGGCAAATAACCAGCACAATAAACCCAAAAAGAGATTAAATTGAATTGAAGAAACGGCCACAGAGCATCAAAAAAGACAAAAAAATAAACAAAAATAATTAAAAAAGTTAATTCAAATATATCTGCTGGGGGGGGTACAGAAAGATTAACAAAGAGCGCTGCATGGGGGGTTCAGGTGTCTGTACACCCGAATGTTTTATTCAGCAACACAAATAAACTATTCATTTATTTATTTATTTAATATAAATAAAAGATATAAATAAATTTATTTAAATTATTATTTATTTATTTGTTACTTGTTGTAAAGGCAATGGCCGACGGCGTAGGCTATGCCGGTGAACTGCGTGAGGTGCTGCAGAACGAAGAGGGTCCTTCTGCTGATATATTTTTTCATAAACAAGAGATGGAGAACAAAGGCCCTGAATATATAAAACAATAACTAAAAATATATTTAATATTTAAAAATATAATCAAAAAAATGGTTACTTAATACACACAACACGGTGTACAGACACCCCAACACAACGCAGTTGCAGCTTATAAAAAAAAATGGATCCAAAAAAACAACTTTATATAACAAATTTATTGAAATAAAAAAGAAAATATATAAATAATATTAAATATAAAATATTTTGTTTTTATATATCTTCTCTTTCTTCTCTTTACTCACGTCAGCGACCAAACGGTTAGCTTGAACCACATAAACATCTGCAACAAAAAACAGAAAATAAATACAAATAAACAATTAAAAGCAAATAAATAAATATAAATAAACAATACAAATAAATAAATATAAATGAACAATAAATAAATAAATATAAATAAACAAGAAATAAATAAAAAACAATCAGAAACAAATATATTATATATGCGCAAATAAGCAGCACACAACAAACAAATTAACATAAATATGAAATACCGAAACCCGCAACAAACAAAAACACAAATACAAACAAATAAAAACGAAAAAATAAATAAAAATAAACAACAACAAATAAAAAGAAAATACAAATGAACAATACAAGCATCAACACACACATCAATGAAACCATGCATGTATAACCAAACGCCAACTAAAATAAATAAATAAATTTATTTATTTTATTTGGGGTTTAGGGTAGTAAGATAAAATAAAAAACAAAAAAAAACAAAAAAAACAAAAAGACAAGCAAAAGAAATAAAAAGTTTATATAAGCAGCAACGAAGTCTGTTGGTTGTGGTGCTATATTAAATACACACCAGAAAA